GCTCCGTGAGACCACGACGCTTGGCTGCAGCTGAGGAGAATCTTGAAGTGGCTCGCGCTGCCCGTCTAGCACAAATCTTCAAGGAAATATGTGACAGCATCATATCCTATAAAGGTGAAGGTGACACTCCTAAAAAACATCTCCATGGAGACGTTCTCAGCCTCTGGAACGACGAACTCTCAGAATAGAAAATACTAGGAAAAAAAGGAATTTATTTCAGGATGTTAAATAACCTTTTTTATTTTCCTGCTACCAGTAATCGCTTTGCGTTATCCTCAACCCCTTCCTGTGCCACAGGATTCTAAAAAACATCTCCATGGAGATGTTCTCAGCCTCTGGAACAACGAACTCTCAGAATAGAAAATACTAGAAAAAAAAGGAGTTTATTTCAGAATATTAAATAACCTTTTATATTTTCCTGCTACCAGTAATCGCTTTGTGTTATCCTCAACCCCTTCCTGTGCCACAGGATTCTGCAGATGTTGCTCTCCTTTTAAATTGATTTTTCAGTAGTTGAAGCAAAAAACCAACAGGATTGCCGGGAAACTTTCCTCCGTTCTGAGGCGCGTCACCCAGTTCCGGCTTCTAGATGCTCAAAAGGCGCCCTTGTGCCTCAGACAGGGGCTCCCTTGTGCCTCAGACAGGGGTGGAAGAGGCTTTTTTTAACCCAGATTGGATGTGCTTAGTTACTTGTCTTTTACTCAAGTAAATGTTGCTCACCTCTGTGTGTTCCTGTTACAGATTCCTCCAGGCAGGCTCTTGCAACTCCCCTCCTGAACCTCCCCCCGAAGAAAAAGTACGTACTCGCTTCTCAAAGCTACCCCAAGTTTTCTGTAAGGATTTTGCACGGCTTGGAATCGCTCGTGGAAAAATTGTTGTGCACATGTTCCTGTTCTAGAAACGCAGACTATTACGAGAAGATCTCTGACCCGCTGGACCTCACCACGATCGAGAAGCAGATCCTGACCGGCTATTATAAAACGGTGGAAGCTTTTGATGGGGACATGCTGAAGGTTTTCCGGAATGCAGAGGTGAGATCCTCTCTCTCCTTAAAGCCATCGTGTAGACAGTGGGGATATGCCCTCGTTCGATGCTCTCGCTGACTTACAGCAATAAAAGAAGAAAAATGTTTTAAAGGAAGAGAACATGTGATGGTCTGATTTGGATTAACAGGCATCGATAGTGATTTGTGTGCTTCAGCTTCCTCTTAGTGCTTTTTGGTCACCTTAGGTCAGACAAATAGGTCAAGAACATGCCTGAAAAGCTAACTTAGAGAGATTTCAGTACATTTTGGAGGAGTTACCTTGTTCCTCAGTGTCCTATTTAAGATACGTGGACCTGCTGTTGGAAAGAAAGGCTGAGGCAGCTGGGGTTATTCAGCTCAGAGAAGAGAAGGCTCCGGGGTGACCTAACAGCGGCCTTCCAGTACGTGAAAGGGCTGACAGGAAAGCTGGAGAAGGGTTTTCTACAAGGGATAGGACAAGGGGCAATGGCCTGAGACTGCAAGAGGGGAGATTTAGATGAGATATAAGGAAGAAATTCTTCCCCATGAGGTGGTGAAGCCCTGGCACAGGCTGCCCAGGGAGGGTGTGGATGCCCCATCCCTGGAAGGGTTCAAGGCCAGGTTGGAGCAACCTGGGCTGGTGGGAGAGAGGTGTCCCTGCCCACAGCAGGGGCTGGAACGAGATGGTCTTCAAGGTCCCTTCCAGCCTGAACCATTCTAGGATGTTCTGAAATAAGGAGGTAGCTGGCCAGGTGTCCACTGCAGTTGTGGGAAGACACCTTTAAGGGTGCCTGCAGACAGGACGAATGCACCTGGGGAAAATACAAAAAGGTTCGTTTGCTTCTTTGTTCCGTTTTTCTTTAGAAATACTATGGCAGAAAATCTCCGACTGGGCGCGACGTGTGCCGGCTCCGCAAAGCGTATTACAACGCTCGCCACGAGGCGTCCGCCCAGATCGACGAGATCGTGGGAGAGACGGCGAGCGAAGCCGACAGCAGCGAGACCTCGGTCTGCGAGAAGGAAAACGGGCACGAGAAGGACGAGGACGTGATCCGCTGCATCTGTGGCCTTTACAAAGACGAAGGGCTCATGATCCAGTGCGAGAAGTGCATGGTAAGGAGGGGCGAGCGGGAAAGGGAGCCTGGGGCTCTTTTTCGATTCTCCATAACCTGGGGAGCTTTTGCTGGCAGTTTCCACGTAGCTCGTAGAGTTCATTACCTCTTCAGAGCTTTGTTTCCTCTCCAAAACAATTGGGAGATTCTGTTGTCACAGAGGAGACACATTTCTATGTAGAGGAGCCGGCGCTTCTCTGGAGCTGCCAGCAGCGCCAGTCTTCAGGCGAGCAGAACAGCAGTTTGGGGTTTTTACACAAACAGCTGCACGGGGATCTCATCCATCTTCTGTGCAATAATTCAAAGAAAATATTATATTTCCTTTGGGAAGCTTGTTCTCTTGCTTTCCTTAATTTTTCTTTTATTTGTTCTTTGAGAAAACGCAGTTTGTTAATAATTTCTGACCAGGCTGTATCTGTTTTTCTAGGTCTGGCAGCACTGTGACTGCATGGGTGTGAATTCCGATGTCGAGCACTACTTGTGCGAGCAGTGTGAACCTCGAGCTGTGAATAGGGTAAGAAAAACCAACCCGTCTCCTTTTCGTCACTGCCCTTACAAACTAAAGCAGCTCTTGCCTTTCTCTTTATCGAGATGGGCAAGTCCACTGTGGGATTCTCTCTTCGTAATGTAGCTTCCTTGGTGTAGGTTTAATCACGTTAAGTGTCAGTTCTCCTTCTCTATCCTGTGTATTTCCTAAAGGAGATCAGCCTCATTTTTGCACTGATCGTGGTGAGCAGCTCGGAATTTTCTTCTTTTTTCTTTTCTTTTTGTTTGTCTTTTTTTCATCCAGGAGGTTCCCATGATTCCTCGTCCCCATTACGCCCAGCCTGGCTGCGTTTATTATATTTGCTTGTTACGGGACGATCTGCTGCTGCGCCAAGGTACGTGCTCACCCTGCCGGCTGCCGCAATTTCTGGCGTCACCCTCTTTGAAATGCTTTTTATCTTTCGACAAGCAGAAAGCTGCTCTGGGAGTGACACATTAGTAAGAGTTCTCACAGGCTGGTTGATGAAGAAATGTTAATTACCTTTAGCACAGATAGGGCTTTCCTCCTGGCTGGAGAAGGAGGGTGCTGAGCCAACTGCTGGTAGTTCACATTTTAAAGTAAAAGGTGAAAAAAGTATCAGTATTTTAGTGTAAAATGGTCATTAGAACATCCAGCTTACTGCTTCTTTGTTCCCTGAAGTGAATCTTTCCAAGCCCTGAGTCTTTTGGAGGCAGCTACGCAGGCGTGCAATTCTGTTCACTTGCTGTTATTTTTTGATTTCACCCTACAGCTGCGTACAAGGTTAGGAAAGACCTGTATGATTGTAAAGAGAACTGCTCTGGAATGAGTAAAACCGGTTTATTGGAAGGGGAATGGGAGTCTCCATGTAATTGAAGAATTTTTAAAAAAAATAGAACAGTGTATTGTTCTCCCCCTCTGCAGGATTCTAGAATTCGCCTTCAGTCTCCTTTCTTCACTGTCGCTCTGCATCGTCTGTCTTGTCTGGAGTTCAGGCATTTGCTTTTCTCGTTTCTTGGGGGTTTTTTTGTGAGAATAACTCACTTCCTGAGCTTGTATCTGTCCTCGCTTCTTTGTTTTACCTGGGGTTCGAGGCATCTTCCAATTGGTCGTAGCCTTAAGGTACTTTTTGTCGTGACACGCGATATTTCGCTCACATAAGCCTCATATCTGATCCTGATGACTCTGACTGCAGAAATATTAGTCCTTACGTGCCTGAGCTCCATGTGCCATCGACAGAGGACGAAGGAACCAAAGTGCCACTGTTGGGCACCGAATGCCTCTGCAGTTACAGGGAATAGATTTCCCGAGGCGTGTCACCAGGAGGGTGGGCTAGAAAAAGGGGAAATCCACGGACTCGTCGCCCTCCACCAGAATTCAGAGGCAGGACACCTGCCTGTAGGAATTGCCGCGCGTACAGGCCTACAAGGAGTCTGGGAGGCAGTAGAAGAAACAGGTTTTTTACTCCCTCTGCTTTGTAAAGGTCGTGTGATTTACAGATCCCAAGGCAAAAGAGACTGTAGCCCTCCAGTGTCTGCACTCAGAGACGGTTGTTGTGGGTTAGAAAGAGGCCGATCTCACAGTAACAACCGAAAATGCTTTTGAGAGCTTCGCGTACAGGCCTACAAGGAGTCTGGGAGGCAGTAGAAGAAACAGGTTTTTTACTCCCTCTGCTTTGTAAAGGTCGTGTGATTTACAGATCCCAAGGCAAAAGAGACTGTAGCCCTCCAGTGTCTGCACTCAGAGACGGTTGTTGTGGGTTAGAAAGAGGCCGATCTCACAGTAACAACCGAAAATGCTTTTGAGAGCTTTGCCTTCCTTTGTGAGCCCGTCTGCCCTGGCTGCTCGCTGGGGTGTCTCTACATCGAGTTAACTCGCCTTCCAGTTCCACGCTCAACAACTCCTGTTCTTGAGGCTGAAAAGCTTCCAGCGGCATGAGCGCGCACCGTTGACCCCCATCAAATCTCCCTCTAAATCAGCGACGGCTCCTTCAGTCTCCGGTTAGAGGACTTGGGCTTTAATTTCTTGCTTCCCCTGCATAAAATTCCCGAGCGCAGAAACGCAGGAGGGGATGCAAATAGCTGCGGTCAGTTGGTTCACTGCTGGGGAAGCGGGAAGTTCGGATGCGAGTGGATCAAAAGGAGTCGAAACAGATCTTGGAAAAGCCGCGGAGCCAGGAGCTGTCGCTGGCGTTAGCTCTGATCCGCGTCTCTTCCTTCGAAACGCAGAGCTCTGAGCTCCCTTTGCAGACAGAGGGGGGATACTGCAGGGGTTGGTCGTGTCTGGGGAAACCTGGGTTGCCGTCAGGGGTTCGTGCACATCTTTTCGGAGTACTCCTGTTTCAGCCAGGTGCAGCAGGGACTGGAGGGGCTTTATTCTCACTGAAAAGGTAGAGAAAAAGAGCGCAAAGTAGGTAATTGAAAATAACAGCCAGAAACCAGTGGGTTTCTTTACATTCCGCTTGGGTCCAGCAGCTGCCCTCGGCACGGACGTTGCTTTGTTCCTCTACGAGTCTTTTCGAGAAGTTAGGGAGGCGGGTTCCTTAACCCGAACTCAGTGAGGTGGGGATGTTATTACCCCGGTGGAAGAGGTAACGCCACGGGGAGTACGAGCTGATCGCCGGCAGATACACCCTTGTACCCTTGACGAGCTGGCTCTCTGCTGGCTCAGGTGCAGGCCTGTGTCATTCTGTCTTCAGTTTGTTTTTAACTTCATCAGGCTAGAACAAAACTAGATGTCAGTGCCCGTATGGCCCAGGTCATCTCTGGTTTAAATCAGAGGATTTATTTTTTTTTCAAATAACGCAGCATATTGTGTTCCGGGGACAACATAAAACCTTAAAGCAGTTTTTGCGTAGAGGGAATCCTTAGGGGCATTTTGAGTGTACACAAGATTGAGAAATGAGATTTTCTGTATCGAAATATAGTTGAGCCTCCTTCACTTTAACCTGGACTTCGGTTGTGAGCTGAGAGAGAACCAGAGCGAGGTCTGCAGGAACCTGGGGCCGCGTTGCTTTGGTGGTTGCACTTTTTCACAGAGACCAAACCCGCTAATTAAATAACAGTAACATGAATGAAAACAGGCGTGGGTGCACCTACACGAAAATAGGGAGAGAAGAAACCCGGGACTAATGCGCTGAAAGCGTCAGAGAAATGGTCGGCAGGAGAGAGGTGAGGGGCAGGAACGGTTCCAAAGAGATGAGGCACGTTCTTGGAGGAAGGATTCCTCCCTCCTGGCACAGCGCTCCAGCCTTTAGCTCAGAAAGTCCAAAAAAGAGACGGAAGAAGCCGGGAGGGGATACGGTGGGGAGACTTTTCCTGTGGGAGCCTCGTTCCTCTGCTTTTTGCTCCTGCGCACCTGCCTCTGGCCGCGCGATGACCTTTGATCTTACCCAGCCTGTTTTTTCTTAAATTTTTATGACCCGGGACCTCCCAGGTTTTTGTTCGTCATGAGATAAACAGCAGAAAAGCTGGAATTGATTTTTAAATAGCGCGTACTAAATCCAGCAACGTTTTCAGTAAGGCTTTGAGTCTCCCCAGTGCTCTGAGGCACTTTGGAGGGGGTTTTGTCAACATCATTGATTAAAGCTTTTTCCCCCAAGGAGGAGGAAGGCTGTTGGAACGGAGCAGTGTATTTTCACCCGTTCGAACGACAGGCATTGCCACAAAGAAAGGCACCGGTATGGCAGTAGGAGTGAGACTGGGGGCAGAGAGGAGGGATTTCAGTGCTAATGATTTTCTCTCTGTCTTCTCTCTTAAGATTTATTCTTTAAAGGTCGCAGCTCTCACGAATTTCCACACAGTTTCCTAAGCAGGACTTACTTTTTTCCGTATCCTGCAGCCTGCCATCGTTGCTCTCATTTGCACCTTCGTATTTTCAGTCTGACCGTACAATTCAAGCCAGGGTTTAGTTCTGCCTGTAAAGCTTTTGCGAAAATGCTCGAGGGAACCTTTTCTCCTTTTGCCTTGGTTTCTCTCCCTGCGTTCGGTATCTCTGTCATATTAGTCGCAGTGAAATCATTTCCTCCTCTCGGTTTTGGTGTGCTGGGCTCCTGAAAAGTCCTTCCCGGGTGTGTGTTTTGTGCCTCTTGCCAGGTGATTGCGTTTACCTGATGCGAGACAGCCGCCGGACTCCTGATGGCCACCCCGTCCGCCAGTCCTATCGACTCCTGTCCCACATCAACAGGGAGAAACTCGACATTTTCCGCATTGAAAAACTCTGGAAAAACGAGAAGTACGTTCAAGGCGTCTTTTGAATTTGAGACCTTCCC